AAGTTAATATGGACAACTTCCTAGTCTTATTCTCAAAGGCGAAAGAGTTTAACTAGCCTTTCCCTTCCCCTTCTTTCTAGTTTCTGGAAAAAGAACATATGGCTGAAGCTGGAACAGCCATATGGAATCCCGATACGGAAGTCATGTGTTTAAGAGAGCACAGAAGCCTGGGTCTCTGATGAGTGCACAGCACCCAGACCAACCCTAAACTTTTAGAAAACATATGCCTTGCTGATGCTACTACTACTCTGTGTCTCTGTCCAGCAGCAGAACCCATATCCTAACTAATAAAGAAGCTTTGCCAGTGGCACTGAAGACCACTTCCAAAATTCTAGAGCCTTCTCAACTGTTCAGATTTAACAAGTCCATAAATATTTATTAAGAGTCTACTATGTGTTTGAAGTCTGCTAAGAGTATCTTTATAGTCTCCTGGGAAATGTGCCCCACATCATTTTTTAAAAACCATTATATTGGTATAGAATGCAAAAAGGAATATTCAGCAAAGGTAAAATGGAAAGTAACAAGAAACGTTTAAATAAGATCATGACGGAGGCAGGGAAAAGTCCATCTTGGTTTGTAAATAACAATTTAAGCTGAAAGGAGGCCACGAGGCATACTGCAAGTGGGTGAGGCAGCGGGGTCAAATGTCCAGGGGTGCAGGTTACTAGTGTCCCTTCCCCCCAGGAGAGAAAGTGATAGAAGGAAACCACTAGGAGTGAACTCAGTTACTCCGGGGGCTCTCAGTCCCGGAGGGAGGTTGACTGAAGCATTGACCACGATGGGATCTGGCCCAGCAGAAGAACTAGAAGGAAGGGCTGTTACGGATTAAACAGATGCTCACAAGGGTTCGTTCAGCGCTGACATTCTGCTCTGGTTTTAAGGAGCTGAGGTGGGAGGGGACCGGGAAGAGGAAATAAATTCAAAGAGAGAGGTGTTGTACAGTGCTGAGGTAGGAGACCAAACGTTCAGCTTGGGGGTGGAGAGTGGCTGGTGTAGGAGTACAGTGTCTAGACCCCTGCCATTATGGGAGAGAAAGGAAATGAACATGGCTTCATCATAAGGACAGGATGACAGCAATGACATTATGAGGAGAGAATCAGAAAAGTGCAAAGCCCATATTAGGAAAATGGGAACTGTCTCTTCACCATCAAATTCCCCAGGGAGAACTCCCTAAGACAGGGTCGTGTCCCTAACCTGAGACTGAGACTTCCCAGACAAAGGAACTAGTCCCCCCAACAATCCCTCCTTCTTGGAGGGATCCCCCAGAGGCCCGGGCAAGGCTCACCCCACAGTGGCCTCCATCTCCAGGCCTTAGTCACTGGCTGGTGGGCCACAGTGCCTGTCTCTGTCCTTCCCACAGTCCAGCCACCATCAGACTGCTGGCTCCCTGAGAGTGCCACCCACAGAGGTCGTCTCCCAGTCCTCAGCACCTAGCAGGATCTGTCGGGGAGGCCATCAGTATGTGCCTGTTGAATGGGGGACGTCTGCTCCCAGGTGTCACACAGAGGGCTGGGGTGGCCTTGTGCTTCTCAGCATCACCAACACACAGGGGATGTGCAAAAAAGTGAGGCCACTCACCACATCTCGGGGTGAGTCCTTGCAGGAAACCACCAAAGACCCCCACAAGGAGGGAGGGAGAGCAGCATAGGGGCTGACTTGCCCCTGGCCCAGGCCAAGACCCCAGCATGGAAGTTAGATATAAAACCAGGCAGTTGGAGACATAGATCGCCTACACCTACAGCTAACCACAAAAACTCAATTTAGCCAACAGTTTTCAGCTCTTTCTATTGCAATTTTTTATCAGAACTGAGAAAGGTGGGCAAGCTTGAAAATATTTCGTTTTCCTGCTTCCTGTAATCCTCTGGGGAATTAGCCAATTTATAATGAGATATTCAGTGCCAGCGAGCCGACAGGAGAAGCAACAGAAGGCTTCTGGATAATCTATATTATGGCTAATACACTGCAACAGAATAGCCAAGAAACACTATTACTGACACATGTAAAATTCAACGCAAAGAGGAAAAAACTCACAATGTAACCAGTACTTCAAAAGTCCACTAGCTTTATGCCTCTCTCTACCACCTAAGGAATGCTGGGCCTGACTGCCAGGGTGACCGGGGAGGGAGAAACGCTGACCCCTTGACATAAACTAAGGCTGTGGTCAATGCTCCCCATCGCCAGAGATCCCAATCCTGGGGTCAGTTCAATTCCATGAGCCATGCAGTAAGGATGTAAGTGTGCCCATGTGCACACACAGGCACAGCGAGATGAAAAAGAGCTCCATAAATCTAATAAGACATCAGCGTTGTCCTGAACAAAGGTTGTTTGGAATGAGAGTTTACAAGGATAATTACCAACACATTACACAGAGAGCAATAACTTTGTTGTTAGCACAAGAATTTGTCAGACGTGTCACATGGAAAGTGGAGCAGCTGTAACCGTAAGTGACAGTTGCTGAAAAATGGCTGGTTTCCAAAGCACCTGGTCCCCCGAGTCTGTACCGTAACCTTGTTCTTAAATTAAAACAACAACAACAAACAACAATACAAAAACTTTCCACTGCAGAAACTGCCAGCTTGTTAAAGCTAACAGAGAGAATTTTCAAGGAGTCGGCGTGTCCCTGTGCAGAGGCTGGTGGAGTCTGTGTTTGCAGCCCACACCACGGCAGGTGGCCTCTGTGGGAAGAGCCAGGCTTTTAACTCAGGGAGGCCTGGATCTCAATCCTGTCTCTCCTGCTTACCAGCCCCTCATTCCTGGGAAAGTGAGTTAACTTCTCTGAGCGTCCATTTCCTTATAAGACAGAGATGATAATCTCTAAGGTATAGAGGTGTTGTGAGCAGTAGAAATCGTGTGTAGAGCTCTTAGCATAGCACCTGGCAAATAACAAGTGTTCAGGAAACAGGGTTAGCGTTAAGCAGACTTGTCTACCTAAACACACCTGGCTGCATAATGAAGAGGGGACGACCTGTATATTACACTTTTTTAAAAAGGAAATGGAAACATCACAAGCTCTGAGAAGGTGGGGAGAGAAAAGAGGTGATAAAATTGATGAGGTTTTCCTGGGAAACTATACCCAAGAAATTATGCCCTCCGTAGAAGAATGGTTTTACAAAAACAAACTGCTTATCCTTATTATACACTACCAGAACTATTTTCTTTTTTCTTTTCTTCCAGGTAAAAAGTTGCAAGGAAGTCTCCTTGTATTTGAAATTCTTTGGGGAGGCCATTTTCTAACTGACCACACTCAGCAAATTTTCTGTAATGGATATAATGAGGTATTTCAATTGACAAAGTCTCTCATCTCCCCCTCTAAGAGACAGATGCGTCTGGTTATTTACCAGGTGCCCCAAGTCTCACAAAAATGCTGCAAGCACTGCCTAGAAAACTGGTACTGTGAAGGTTGAAATAGTTCTAGAAGAGCAAAGATCTTAAATCCTTTTACACGACAAGAGAAAGCAGCTCAAGTCCTAATTAAGCTAAAGCAATTAGCCACCCACAGACACTTAACGCTGCTTCCCATGGTCAGGCAATCATCTCTATTAAAACCCATTTTGAAGTAAGGAGCAAACCCAAAAGCTCCATCACCACACACTTGCCACTAATCAATTGCCCCCTTATACAAATACTCTCGGAAGCAAGCTCTGTGCCTGCAGAGGGCTTTTATGAAAGGACTGCATCAGACATGATGAGGTGGTCACAAAAAAGGAGGAGGCAAACAGCAAATGTGACAAAATCCACTCGCTGCATAAGCAAGACACTGGGCCTTTGGTGGGTTGGACAAAGCAAGACAAATTGAAGCCTTGCGTTTCCCTGGTCTTAGAATTCTCTGGTTGGTGTAACAACTAATGAGTCAACTCCAACCTGAAGGCGTACATCAAACAAAACGCTTTCTGCCTACTGGAACCAGAGCCCAGCTTCATCATGTGTGACCAGACCACTGTCCAACCAGATGCTTTACCAGACCAGAGGACTGTCCTCTCCCATGTCACAACTCGTCATTGAAGCACCAACAGGGTGCACTTGGCAGGTTCACATGAGTCCAGTCCACTCAAGTTCATGTGCTTTCCCCACCTCAGTAAGGTCTACTCCACCCTAAGACTCCCTTTAGTGAAGGGAGTTCATTGTTGTTTCTAGACCAGGCTGTTTCCAGACTTGGCAACACAACAGCTACACGACGGTCAACGGGTAAGTGATGGAGATTTAAGTACCTTCCTCAAGAACGAGGGCTGTTTTTGTTTTTCAGCCCAGTCAAGTTAATCCAATAACCCATTACTTCTCAACGGAATAAGAACCTTTTATTTTCTGTGGGTTTTTTGGGGGGGATTTGGAAAATTTCTCAACCATCAAGCAAACATCAAAAATGTAGATCTAGATCAGCGCTGTCCAATAGAAATAAGATTTAAATTTTTCCTAGGAGCCACATTAAAAAAGCAAAAAGAAACAGGAAATTAATAGTAATAGAATATTTTATTTAACCCACTATATCAAAAATATTATCATTTCAACATATGGTATAATCAACATAAAAGATAATTAATGAGCTATTTCACATTCTTTTTCTGATACCATATTGGACTGCGCAGATCTAGAGCTAAGTTCAAATCGACATGGAAAGATTTCCACAATTCACTGTTCTCTGGACAAGCAGTTTACCAAATTGTATGTGTAGCATGATCTCATTTTAACTTTATAAGTATCTGTACCTATGTGTTCACATACGGATAGAAAATAATCTGTAAAGGAGAGACCAAAAGGTAATAGTCATTATTTCTGAGAGGCAGAATTATGGTTGGTCTTTATTTTCTGCTTCGTGTTTTTTTGTATTGTCTAAATTTCTTTGTAGTAAAGATGTACTGGTTTAATTATCAGGAAAACTATAAAAACAGTCTTTTAAAAAAAACTCTCCCTTATTTTAAATTATTACACTCTGCTGGCACTGTAGCCATTGCCCTATTTCCAGCTAACAGAAGGGATGGCCAAACAGTATGCCCCACCCAACCCTAGCAACTGTCGTACTTACAGCCAATCATCATGATGGCCACTGCAAAGATCTTCTCGATGTCTGTGGACGGGGCAATGTTTCCAAAGCCCACGCTGGTGAGGCTGGTCATGGTGAAATACAACGAGGAGATGTAGACAGAATTCTTGCTGGGACCACCTTCCCATTTTCCTGAGCCGGACCCATTAAACTGGTAAGGGGTACCAATGTCCATTGCCAGCTGGTAAAGCCAGCTGTTGTTGCGGATGGTCTTGGTGTCCTCGTCGAAGATCTCGTAGTCCCCGATGCTGTACCAAATGCAGGCCATCCAGTGAGCAGCCAGCCCAAACACGCACACCAGCAGGACCAGCACGGCAGCTCCATATTCAATGTAGTGGTCCAGCTTACGGGCCACTCGTCCCAGACGAAGCAGCCGGACGACTTTCAGCGAGCTGAACAGGCTGCTGATGCCCTGGGAGAAGAGGAGCACAGCATCAGGGCCAAGAACCAAAGTACTACTCCTTCCCTCCTCCCCACCCGGGCTGTTTCCTTCAGCATAGTGCATTTCCACAAGATGCAATATTATGCGACCCTTAAAAATTGTTTTAAAATAAGTCATGATATGAAGAAATGCTCATATATGTTTGTATACTTATGCACAATATAATTAGAATTTTATTCCAAGGTGTTTGGAAGAGAAACTTCCATTAGCTTTTTCCTACTTCCATTAAAAAGCAAATAAAAAAGCAAAACAAAGAAGACAAATAAAATTAGAATTTTATTCTAATTATATTGTGCATAAGTATACAAATATATATGAGCATTTTTCCACATCATGACTTATTTTAAAATAATTTTTAAGGGTTTTATAATATTTCATATTAAGTAATATGAAATATTTTCTGAGCTGTGTAATATTTATTTCATATTATATAATATTTCATTCTAACTGTGTGCATAAGTATGCAAATATTTATGTGTTGAAAATGGTCTAGAACACACATGGAAAGACACGTAAAACAGTAACAGTGGTTATTGCTGCATTGTCAACTTATGGAATTACAGGCAATTTTCTGTTATACTTGTGTATATTTTTGTTATACTTGTATATATTTACTTAATTTCTATAATTAAAACTATTAATTTTATAATTAGAAAAAATATATTCAAAAAAATAAACATAGTTTTAAAAAAAGATAAAAATGAAAAGAATAAAGAACTGAGATTCTGTTTTCTCAGTAAAGTTACAAATTCTTGGAAGGCTACATTACTTCTGTCAGGCCAGGGATTACACAATCAAACACCATGTACTTAAACACAATCAATCCAGGAATCTCAGAGCTAGAAGGAACCTTCTGATTTCACCTGGTCAAGCCTCCTCTCCTCCAGCTGGTGTCTGCCAATCTCATCAGGACAGTTCGATTCTCCAAATAGCAGTTCTCTAGGGAACAGCACTGTGGTAGTGGAAGGAACACCACAGCAGAAATCTAGAAAACAGGGTCTAAGACCCACGTAAGCCACTGACTTGCTATGTGAATTTGGACAATTCATTTACTTCTCAGTTCCCTTGTCTAGACAATGAGAGACGCAGACTAGATGATCCCTAATCTTCTCCAAATGCCAATGTACTCTTATCAACAAAGGGAAATGAAACATACTACAGAATCTATACAACTCAAAACCTCAAAACTCCTATTCCAAAGTGATGCCAAGGTGTAGGGAAGGCATATTTCCATTAGCTTTTCCTACTTCCATTAAATAGCAAATAAACAAGCAAACAAAATAGAGATATTTCTTTGACTCAAGACGTTGGTCTCCCTTACACAGCAAAAACCCAACAGTAGGATGATGCCCTTCACCAAGTAGAGTAAATGACTCTTCACTATTCCAAACACTGGACAGTTTCCAGATCACTGCTATTCTCTCTTCTCCCCTGTACCGTTAGTGACAACCCCAAGGGCCAGGTTATGTCACAGACAGAAAAAAAATGTGTAAATGCTTTCTGATAAGCCTGTGTCAGAGACTCACCAAGGAAGACTTCCTCTTCCTGGGCACACAGCTAAACCACATTTCTCTGCCTCCTTCCATTTGGGTGAGTCTCTGGGACTAGTTCTCATCAATGGAATGTGAGGTGAAATGAGTGTCACGTCCAGGCCAAGGCAGTTAAAAGTAAGTGTACTTTTTCTACATGCTTTCTCTTCCCCTTGACATGCCTTCCAGATGAGGCCAAGGGGTGAAGATAATGGATGTACAGAATGGAAGGAGCTTGGGGCTCTGAAAGACTATGTGAAACACCCTCTCCCCACACAATCAACTTGAAGTGTATTGTGATATGAATGAAAAAAAAAAAAACTCTCTGAAATAAGCCAATGACATTTGGGGGGATATTTGTTACAGTAGCTATTAGCCATCCCTGACAAATACAAAGCCCTTGTGTCATGTGAACACACAAACCATATGTAGCATAGCCTTGTCAGTAAAGACCACAGATCAGGTTGCCACACAAATTATTTGTGTTGAGATGAGGGTAGGGGAGGTGGGACTTATTGCCTTTTTAAAAAACAAAACAAATAAACAACAGAAATAATCATTTCTTGTCCAACATACACCAGCAAATGGATAATAATGGATTTTTCTAGGCCAAGAGACTACATCCCCAGGGTCAGTCCACCCAAACTGCTAACTTGACCAAGGTGACCTTTGGCATGCCCAGTACACCTCCCCTGGGTCCCCTTTGTCCTCTATGCACTTTTCTCAAAGACTTGCCATGCAGATAAGGCTGAGAAAATCCCTCATATTAAAGTGCAAAAGACTGGTGAGGCTAAATGGACATCGTCTCTCCATAGGGCATCTGCATTTTAACAGAGGGAAACCAACTTCCAATAGTGGAATTAAAAGCACCCACAGCCTGGATGAAGGAGATATTTTGGGAAGCAAAGAGCCTTTTTGATGACTCAGAAATCAAACACATGTAAGCAGCCACCTACTCTCCACCTCCTCATAAGGAGGTTCCTGAAATCTTCTCTCAAAGCAGCTCAACTCTGAAGCAGAACTTATTACCCAGGGCAAAACTGCCTTGTCATTTTTCCTCACTCATATTCAATTCAAAGCAGGATTTATGGAGAACCCACCATGTTCTCTTTGTGCTAATACTACAGGGAAGAGATTAAAATGATGCTGTCTTTGTATTCTTATTCACTATTGCATCTTCAGTGCTGGCATGTGGAAGATGCTTGATAGGAAGAAAGGAGGGAAGAAGCAAAGCTTAACAACTAGATGCAAGATATGATTAGTGAAAAGATATTTCCACTAATAATCAGAACCTGAGAGCTGAGAGGAAGCATAGAAGTCATCTAGTCCAGCTCCTCTGAGTCCATTAATGTCTTTCCAGAGCTTCCTTTAGGAATGGTCACCCAGCCTCTCCTTGAACTCTCGCCTTAACCACTACTTCTCGAAGGTCCCATTCTGTGGCAGTCATTCATGGAGAAGAACGATTGGGCTCCCATCGCCTTTCTTATCTCCCTTCTGCTTCATCTGCACTTCACCCCTCCTCCCGTCTCTATCCCTTCCCAATGGCCACCACAGCACATGCAACCACTACCTAAAGGCCACGCTGTCCTCTAGCCATACACTCCAGACGTCTCGAGCAACCCACACAGCGGATGCACACTTGCATCTCTGTGCCTGCCCAGACTGGTCCCTCAGCCCACAATGCCCAGCTTCCCTGTTTCTGCCAGCTGGTATACCTGTTATCCTTCAGACGTGACATTACAACACTAGCCATCCTTCAGGCCTGCCACTACCTCCACCTTAAAGCCTTCCGTGACTACCCTGTAGTCACAACCAATCACACCTCCATGTGTCCATGGTATTCTGTATCCATTACCACTTGAAGACATTGCTTTGCATTATAGTCTCCTATAGCCATTTCCCCAACTACATCAGGAACTATATCTTCCTAAAGACAGAAGCCATTTATTATTCATTTTAGAAGCCTCCTGTATTGGGTTGAATAGTGTCCCTCCCAAAAATTCATGTCTTTCCCACAACCTCAGAATGTGACTTTACTTGGAAATAGAGTCGCTGTGGGTATAGTTAGTTAAGATGAAGTCATGCTGGAGTATGGTGGGCCCTTAATCCAGTATGATTGGTGTTCTTACAATAACAGGAGAAGAGACAGACACAGAAGAGAACACCATGTGACTACCAATGCAGAGACTGGAGTGATGTGTCTTCAAGCCAAGGAACACCAAGGATTACCAGCAGTACCAGAAGTGAAAAGAAAGGCACAGAACAGATTCTCTCCTAGAGCCTTCAGGGAGAGCACGGCCCTGCTGACACCTTGATTTCAGATTTCTAGCCCCCCAGAACTGTGAGAGAATAAATTTTTGTTGTTTATTAAGCCACCAAGCTTGTGGTAACTTCTCACGCAGCCCTAGAAAACTAATATACCTACACGGGATCTAAAGACAGCACCTTCTCAGAAAGGGTCTCAAACATTTTCTAAACTGAATTGAAGAGTTTTGATTATTAGAGAATTCTTTCTCATTTTAAGGAGCCTCTGGAACAATATAAAATAAGCACTTCCTCATTGTGCTATTTATCTGTGTGTACACGGATACCCCATTACACAGTTTTGCATAAGTTCTCTCTTAGTGCACTGACGGCTAGAATTCTAGCTGTTTAAAAGCATTTCAAGCTATTAATTTGGGGGTTTTTTTTTCTTGTTTGCCTGAAGTTCAGTAGAGGAGATAAATAAAACGGAATACTCCAAACATTTTTTCTTTAATTTTAGTATGCTAAAAACATGACAGCACCATATGGTAGAGAATCACATTTCCCCAGGGACTTCTTGTATCAGAAAACCCATCTCACATTCCAAATAGTTCCAGCAAGTTCTTTAACACAACCTTGAAATTATGAAGAACCAAGAGTTTTAAGTCAACATGGATGAAGGGACGGTGAGAACCTGTGCTGCTGAGTCTCATCACTGAAGGCCAAGAAATATGACTGGAAGGATATGACTTCTGAAATCTCAGAAACCTCAGTGGTAGTGATAGTGATGTGATTCAAATTGAAATGGACATTTGGCAATGATCAGATTCATTTGTGTGAACTATCAAGTTTTACCTACTCACTTAGATTAAATAAATCATTCCATTAACTTGGACTATTAACTTTCCTTCTCAACAAGCCAAATACACCCATATTTTGCTCATTTTTTTTTCTGTCATATGCATGGAAATAACATTGTCACAGACTGATGACAATGTGTTACTGAAAAGAACTACTCAGTCTTTCAGGTTCTTGAATAGCTCCCCCAGGCTTCCAGGTCTGTGTGGTGATATGATGGCATCCACAGCAAATTCTGCAGGTAAACTTTGATTGCTTTCAACCTCACGTTACTCATGATTATTCTTCTCCTGTATCCTCCTCCAGCTAAAGGCCTCCTTCATATGCTTCCCTCTGAGT